CATTGAACCTTATGGGAAAATTTGATTCGGTTGGCGGCCAAAATCGGTTGGTGGCCACATTCGTAGGGTTCAGAACGGATTAACCTTATTTACATTGAACCTTATGGGAAAATTTGATTCGGTTGGCGGCCAAAATCGGTTGGTGGCCACATTCGTAGGGGTCAGAACAGATTAACCTTATTTATATTGAACCTTATGGGGAAATTTGATTTGGTTCGAGACCAATTCGGTTCGCGACCAGAGTTGCGGAATGAATTAAGTTTGTGACCCGAGGTACCACTGTATTATCCCATTCTAGAAAGCAACTCGTTATTCTTGCTTAAGTTAACAGGGCCCTGCCACAGCAACAAGCCGTAGAACACTCCATAGTGTTTCACTACCCCTTTTAGGGAAGGGGAGGTCAGGTGACCAAAAGTGTGATTGGTCATGAGGAAAGTTGTGGTCAGTTCCTCCCTTACACCACAGGGAAGATGCTTGACCTATGTCACTGGCCTGAAAAGGTGAGACCCTCACGACAATCATGGATGTGAGTAACAAGGTACTCACAAAACAGAAGGTACAATCTGGCCAACCCTATTACTTGTAGCAGCTTGTTTTATTGGCACAAGGGTTGGGTGGCCTGTTAAACCACTGTTTAAAGGCCCTCTGTTTTCAAACTCAGAACAGTGGAAATGGTTTCCAAAGTTGAAATGAGGTACAGTGGGGACAGCGTGTCAAATGCTAATAATAGTGTTACAACCAATAATGCTAATGGGGGGAAAGTTAAAACTGATGAAGTATTTCATCATCTTAACTTATAGTTGGATTCATATAACAGCATAGGCTAAAATATGATTGGTTATTTTAGGGCTCAGTCTGCTTTGCAACACCCAAGCTATAGGGTTAATTTATTATAATCTGTAATAAGTAATTTGAGGAGAAACATCTACATCAAGAATTGGCTCCTGAAAGAAGAATCCATTCCCAAACATTCATGATAAAAGAAAATGTGATGCTACCTGCTAAATTAGATTTCATTTCCACAAAGGCATTTAGCCAATTTCTGCCATGGTTTGGGGCAAAGGTCCATACTTATAGAGCTATTTTAGGCAATTTATTCAAAAGTAAATCCCATTGAGTAGGATATGTATTGTTAACTTTAATGAAGAAAAAGGAATCTTGTGTTTGGTCTGGGAAAGAGTTGCAGTTACTTGGATTTTGAATTGATCTAGGTTGGTCAGTTGTGTTTTTATTTTACTCCAAACTGGATTATTTAAGACATTTTGAGGAGTGTGAGGGACCTGCTGAGTGCAAACCAGGACAGAAACAAATAATTCATTAGTAAAATCAATTCCATGAATGTTTTATTTGGAAGTGAGCCAAATGGGTATTTAGTTATTGTTTTAAGAATACACATGTTGCTCTTCAAATCCAGGTTTTCTCCGAAACAGTGGGCTTTCAGATAAAGGACTTAGTCCCAAATGAATGTCAAAGACAGATAATCACATCTTATATAGTTCGGCCAAAACTGGTTGCACTGAAAGGAGCATCTGCCTGGCCAGCAAACTTCCCATCCAGTAGTCCCAGAGGTTGATTTAGCCACGATCATGTTGCGATCCCCCCTCCCCCCCGGTCAGAAAAAGGCTCAGCAAACAGGAATTCTTAACTTGGACGCATGCAAGGATGTCAAAGAGGCTCGCTTCTTCCCTAGTTAAATAATGTGTTCAATAAATAACGGAGCGCCAGCCGGTTGAAAGTCGGCCTAATTGGTCTGTAGAAGATCACACAGCCATTAAACGCTTGCTTTTCCCCCACCTTGGCCCGTCCTGCCCCCCTTCCCCTCGCGTAATGAGGGACGGGGGTGGTGAGGGCTGGGTTAAAGGCAACAGGGGATCCCCAAATGGGCTTGAAGGAGTCAGGACTGGGCCCAGGTTCGTGGAAGCGAGCCTGGGCATGTGTGCGGGATGCGAATGGGCGCGGAAGCGCTGGTGATGAGCTTACTCTCCGGCGCAGGAGCAGGGAAGGCGGGATCGCGGCGAGCAGAGCGAAGGGAGAAGGAAGGAAGGAAGGAGGCCCGGCTGATTAGCATGCAGCAGCGCTCTCGAGCCCGGCTCCATTGTTTTAACACCTCCCCTCTCCTCCGCGCCAATCTGTCACCGTTCAGCAGGCGAACGCTGCTGCTTCGAACGCTGCTGCCTCAAATGAGACGGATAATTAGCTGCCCCGCACGAATGGCGCACTCTTCTCACCCCTGATTGCTATCACCTTCTTGCTCCTGGCAGTTTTGACACCTCGTAATCAGCCTGCTGCTTTTTCTCTTTTCTTTCCCCGTTTCTGATCCCCCCACCCCACGCTCCCTCTTTTCCTTCAGATTTTTTTTTTTTTTTTTAATAAATGCAATGCCAGTTGCCATTTGGATTGAGTCTTCTCTGTTGAGTTAACCTTGCATGAATTGCAAAGGGAGGAAGACTGGGGAGGGGGAAAATGCGAGTCTACCCAAAGCGCTTCCGAGAAATGGGTGGGTTTGTAGAGGGGGAACGCCTGAGCTCCGCCGCAGGCGAAAGGAAGCGCTTCAGTTCTTTGCCGGCTTCCACTCGCGAGCATTCCGGGGATGGTGGGGGTGGGAGCTCTAGCACGCCCCCTTTAGCTCACGGCAGATCATTGCAAGGGAGGCCCCGCGGCCCGGCCAACCTGCAATGGTGGATTGGCTCGGATCTTGAGGTTCTTGGCGGGCTGGAAGGCGAAGGGAAAGAAGCTCTAGCTGAGTGTGGCAATAAACAAACTGCAGAGGGAATCTCCAGAAAAGGACAGAGCTGAGACCTCAAATTAATGTACTAAATTTCCCTTCGAAAATCGCACCCCCTCGATGAACTAGTGGAATCTGTCACAAGAGTGTTTCCCGCTCGCCTCTAACGAGCAGTGACAGCCTAATTACGGGGACTACATTACAAGAAGCAGCTGGCGAGGTAGCCGGAGAGCGAGGGAAGAAAGGTGCGCGCCGGTGCGTAGGCGAGAGCACGGACGCGCCTGAAGGGAGTCCAAGGCAAAAGCCGCACGTGGCGCCCCCGGACGGGCTTCCTCAGCCGCTCAGCACCTTTATCTGGGCGCTGCGTTTTCTTGGGAGTTACCCCCGTCCTGGCGCCCAGCCTACCTGGACGGTCCTCGTGGGGTTGCCGGAGCGTGAAGATGGCCCGCTCAGTAGATTATTATGCAGCACGAGGGAGAGAATGACACTAGCACCTTTTCCGAGGTGGGGGAAAATAGGAGGGACTTGTCTGTTTTCCCGACTTCTGATTTCTTCCATTACTGTACCTTATAAACAAGTCGGGGCTTCTTGAATGCAGTCATTGCTGTTCCAAGACGGCGTTTTACTCCGTTTTACCGCCTGAGCTTTCCTTGGTGAGGGTAACAGACAGGACGCCCTGCAAAGTTCCGAGAGGAACGCGTTTATTCTTCATTGTTTCCCACCCACCCCAAGCTAAGAACATCATAGCGTAATCCCGGAGGGCAGAACGAAGTACGCCACACTCTCCCAACTTGGGTTTTTGCTTACAAGTAGTGTGCTTTTTGCAATGGTCAAATCATGGCATACCGTGACCTCTGTGGGAGACAGGTCTTGCTTTCAAACTACTGTATGGTCTCCACTTATGATGGGAGATACTGAGAGGTTAATACGACTTTGCATCTATGGTGCTCCACTAGCTGGAATCCATTGATGACTGTCTTATTTGCAAACTCTACTCTAGCCTGGATTTCTTTACCCTTTGAGGAAACCAAGTGTGTATCTTACTGTCAGACACTATATATACACCAATGCTCATCTTGGTTGGCTGGGAATTGTGGGGGGGAAAAAGTCTATTTAATCAGTAACTCATTCAGTAGATTGCATTCTTGTATTTTCTGTTTCATTTAAAAAACAAACTTATGGTTACATACAAATAAAATCTGCTAGATTGGATAAGCAGTTATTTCTAGAAAGGTAATAGTTCCTGCAGCAGAACGTTGCAGTACGTTCAGCCACAATAGCTCTCCACTTGAGGAGAGGTGGTAATACAATGATTTGCTTATCTTTCTGCAATTCCCCAAATCAGCTATAATGGGTGCTGAGTTTTTTCCCCAAGACACACAGTATCTCTTTTGGTGTGTTGTGTTTACTTGTGCAAACTAGAGAACCCTTTCAAACAAACTAGCAGTTCCCCCTCCTTTTTCAGTGTCCATTTTGATTCTGTTTTTGTTAACACAGCAGCATTCTGTAGATTGAAGGTTTAGAGAACATAAATACATTACCTTAAAAATGCATATTCCTATTTATTTTCCTGTCATTGTGTCTCCCATAACTTTAGGATCAGACAATTTTCAAGCCATGCAATGCGTTTTCTTCCCCAAATACATCCTCCACAGCAGCGTATGCAGGCAGGCTTGAAGAGGTGTCTCAGTTCCTGTCATATATGCACTTGTAAGAGATTTGGAAAACAACATATTCTGGAGCACACTACAGACAAAACCTGCAGAATACTTATTTTAGCACAAAGGTAGTTAACAGTTTGTCAAAGATGGCTTAGAGGTTGTAACCAAAGTTGCAAAAAGATGTTTGCATAACCAAATGAGTAACAAATCATGCAAGACATCGTTCCCCCAAAAATGGACATGTCATGTATGTACTGCACAAGACATTTGGAGAAAGTAAAAGAAAACCCTTTAATTGCATATATTGACACTTTATTAAAACTGATTGCTGTACAAATTGTTACATCTGGAATAAAAATTCTATAGTCTGCATTAATCCATTTTGTAAAGCTTCCTGAAAAAGACTACATTGTAGCAGGTAAAATGGATTACTGTAATAAGCTCAATATAAATGACTTAATTCACTTAGTCTGGAAAGCCTAATCTATTTTAAACTGGAGATTGTGGACTTTACCTTGGGTCTTTGTGGCTTTACTGCTGAAGTGCAGTTTCCTTTTAATTCAGAAGTGGGGAACCTCAGATGTTGCTGATCCACAGCTTTGAGAATCCTTCACTGTTGGTCATGCTGGCCTGAAGCTTTTGAAAGTTCTAGTTCAACATACAATTCTTGGTTGTTGTTGTTTTTTATTGTTAGCAGTTTAAGATTAGTCATAATTCCAGCCAGTTTATTAGGAGTAGAGAGAGATGAAAGTAACAGGCTGGTCTCAGCTTCCTTGGAAACTGAGGACTGACTAGACCAGTGTTTCTCGACCCCAGCAACTTTAAGATGTGGACTTCAACTCCCAGAATTCCCCAGCCAACACATCTTGAAGTTGTTGAGGTTGAAAAACACTGGACTAGACTATTAGAAGCTTTGAAAATGAACCACCTAGCAGGAGGATAGGATTTCTCCTATAGAGGGGAGGAGAAAGGAACTTTGGTTCCTAAGCACAAAGGAAGAGGCCTTATACAGAATCAGATACTTGATCCCTTTTGCTCAGTATTACCTGCATTGTCCTGTAATGGCCCTCCAGTCTCTCCAGCTGTGCTTGGTAATGATGGGGACTGAATCTCAGTGATACTGTATGCAAAGCATGTACTTCATCTACCATGGAACTACAGCCTTTCCATATATTTAATATGCGAGTGCTATTTAGTAAAAGAAAGAAAATAAAAGTCTCTGGAGTTGAGCTTTCATAGATATGTCCATTCGTCCCCTATCCAAGTACAAATCAGGTCTGATCCTGCTTTGCCTCACTTCTCAGTCCAAACAAGATCAGCAAAGTGCTGGATATTTATTAAATATTCTGTATGGACGGCAGTCCATTCAGGAAAAAAAAGTTATTGCACATTGGTTATTAATACCCTGTATGCAGAATTGCATACAGATGACAATCCTCTGCATTCAATGGCTTCAGTTAAGCACATAGCAGGACACTAATCACAGGATTCGGCTGTTGCAACACAGCCATTGCCTTCTTTCCAGATCCACAGTTCTGTTCAAGGTCAGAAATGAGACTAAATACCACACCTCAGTTCACGTTGAGCATGCCACACTTGACTTTAAGTAGCAGTTTTTTTAATATGGAATGTCTTACTTCTAGTCCTACTGTAGTAGAGGTAAGAGAGCATTTACTGTATTTAAATAGTAACTGATTGTCACTTTCTGTTAACAGGTCAACAACATTACAACGTTCTGTTCTAGATAACTTTTTTGATTAGGAATAAAATAAATTGATATGGGCCACAGGATAAAGCACCTGCACCTGCATATATGTTCCATGCATACTTACATTTAAATGCATTTCTGATTTAATGTTAATATACCAATTATAAGTAGGTGAAACATGTGGCTCATTGGTTTATTACTACTTACAAAAGGGGCAACATGCACAAGAGTTCATTTTAATGGAAGGGGAAACAGAATAACACATTCACAGTTAAATGCATAATCTATGGCTCGCATCTTATCAATAAGTACTTGGAGTTAAGCACTAAAATGCATAACACTTATTTCCATGTACCTCTTCCAATACATTAACTAGTATGCTAAGTGTTAAACAGTATCCTAATAAATAAAAGTTATTTAGAAATATAAAGGCATGATATATACTCATCAATTCTATATACAAAATATGGGCTCAATTTTTGTTACATTTCAGACTTGATCTTAATATTCAGCACCCCTCTCTACAACCACAGTTTTAAGACAAAACATGTTGATGCAAAAGGAGTTTTAGGATATTTATTTTAGGGCTTTGAATCTGATTTTAATTAGGTTAATGGAGGGCATGAAACTATCAACAGATGGTTATAAATGCAACCTTATATTCTGAAATTTTTATATATATTCGGACCAAAATCAAAGTACAGCATCCACAATTAATTTAAATAAAACTTCTCTGTTTTCCAGTGATGCTAAGACTTCAAGTTGAAATGTGAATTCAGATGCCTCAGAAAATCCTCCCTGGATGTAAGAGATGGTGGGAAAACTTTCTGACAGAATTCACATATTCCTGACTGCCTGAGTTCCCAGTCTGCAGAAGCAAGTGCCAGTAAGTCAGTGTCTTGAGTGCAGTAAGACTTCCACGGAGGCTGTAAGAAGCAGGGGAAAAAAGGAATGAATGCTTTGTGCAAAATCAGTGTTGCGTTCTGTCTGTCTATGTTTACTGCTGTTTTGGTTTACCTAAATATGTAGCATTTCATATGACTGAAGAATGAGCTTTGATTTTGTCTAAAGCAGTCCACACATCTTAAAGATGCCAAGATTGAAAAACACTGGTCTAAAGACTGAAGTATGTAAAATATTTATACCATTTTTAATTTTAGAACTGATTAACATTAACAAGCATGTCTGGTCAGCAGTTCCAGCATCATAAATATAGGCGTTATATTTTACTTCCCTAAATATAATGCTAAGGCACTGGTATTCACATTATGTAAGAATTTTGACCATCAGCATTTCATACTTTTAAAACAACCAAAATACATATATATTAAAGTCTTAAATAAAAAGTTCATTGATATGGCATACAAAACAGAATAATTTTGGTAAGCGAGTATTCATGCAGTATTTCAAGACTGGGGTCCTTTTTAAAGATAAGATTATTTTGAATGTGTGATCATGCTATGAACAAGAAGGGCACAAGGCCCAGGATAGATTTCTAGAAGTACTTTTTGTTATATTACTACTTAAGAACATACAATTTGAGTCAAGATGCTTTCTTTGATATTTAAATACAGTATGTACAAATATGTATATGTCTACTCCTAACCCATGTCATTCATATGTTCCAGGACCTCATGAATTTTGAAATACAGTAGTTAATTTAAAAGGGGTGGGGCAAAGAGAAGCAGCCACTGTTTCTCTTAGGAGTTAATGCTTTGTCTAAACAATATTTAATATTTGTCATAGGGCCTTTGCAGATTTCTCTTGTACATCTTGTACTGTGGTCAGTTGTCAATCCTTCCAGGCTAATTAGGTATAATTACATCAAGTTCTAACAAACACTACTTTTTTGTTGGTGTAAATTGCTTTGGAAACCTGTCTAAGCATTGATGCATGTTTTAAGTATCACTATGGAAGTGTGCTTTTAATTACTTATTTGCAACTCCACCTTCATTTAAACTGGCAGTTTTAATAACTGTAACAGGAAGCATTTCATGCTATTTTTGTAATATTTGATCACGCACACACCAGCCAGAGGCCCTTTTCTTGAAAATTTTTATTCACTGGCCTGGTTAACACCTGATACTAAGCCATAATGTGATTTGTTTGGTTTTTGGATAAGTATGATGTGTGAATTCACCCATTATGTCTTAGTATTCTGTACAAAGTAGGTCACTGTAGCTTGTTCAACAAGCCATAATGAAAAACATACTGGCTTAGAGCAATGTGTGAATGCTTCAGTTGAGTTTTATGTTGGAACTTGATTCAGTTTGCAATTTTACTTATTTACAAATAAGTTTCATTGAATTCAATCAAGCTTTCTTTTGACTAGACATCTAGAATTTTCTAACATCTCCACTTAACATCTAATGCAAAGCGACCCTGCCCAACAAAGCATTTATTTGGATTAAATTTTCACTATAGAAGAAACGAAAATGTCTGGGTAGGTTTTATCTTGGATTGCTGCTGATAATGTACTTTTACTGGGGAGTTATGAATGTTTGTAATAATTTTAATATTGCAATTAATTAGTTGCCTTTTAACTGATTAACAAAACACATTTTTTCATTTCCACAATTTCAGTGCACATATGCTTGAGAAATTGAAAGAAACATAACAACATTAGAATTCAGTAAATCAACTACTACCACTTCATGTTAAAAGGAAAGTCTTTCATTAATGTGTTTATTTCGGTTGCAAACAAGAATCAAAAGAGAATTAACAATAAACAAGTGTGACCTTAACTTGTAGCCCATTGATTAAAATATGCTGTCACACGAAAATGAATTAACACTGTAATAGTTTCATCCTATTTTATGCACGCTCCTTCCTAACATAGTTTTCAGTTATCAGAGAAGCTGAGTGGCTTGCTGCTCATATAGGTGGTTAAAAACCATGTATTTGTATAAGTATTGGGATATACATTTCTAAATGGTATACATCTATACAGATGCTAAAGTACTTTGTTCAATAGGTGTGAGATGCCCTTTATATTCACTTTCCTCAAAATAAGGAGCACTCCATTCTGAACTAGACCCCTAAATGAGCCACAGCACAGGGACGCACCACATTCCTAACCATTCAATTTAGTCTACATTTTTGTTTTCATTATTACAGTTTTCAATCCAGGTGTTTAAGAAACTGCAATACACTAAGAAAGCAGACTCAAGTTTTTATATTTAGTCTGCAAGGAAGAGCTAAATTTATTACATCAACTGAGAGCCACAGTTCTAACGACTTATGGTTGCCAATTACGCTGCATTTAAGTTTCCCCTCCTCATCTTTACTTGTTAACACATGTATTAAATACATGACAGAAATTCTTGTCTGCTGAAAAAAAAGGGATGGGGGAATCAAGTGTGTAAATCAGCAATATTAGGATGTCAGCAAGGTTAATCCTGTATACAAGGATCCAAACATTTTAAATGCATTTTCATACTGTCTAAGTTTACTCTGCAGGCAAGATAATGAGCTGCCCCAAGCTATATTCAGCTGATTCAGAGTGAATCTATCTGCTTTTATCAGGAGAGGACAGTCTCACAGTCTTACTGAACACATCTCAAATCAGACTCTGAAATCAGGCCAACTTTATTTGTCAGGGAAGGATCTTGCCTTCATTTTCATATCAGCTTGCCAGAGCCATGTTAGCATGCTGAAGGAATTGGGGCCATTATTATTTTTAGCAAAATTGAATTTTCACATTTTCCGTTGTTGTTAAAAAGGACCATGCATTTAAACTTCTTTTCCTGCCTATACTTTAGCGGAGATTTTGATCAGTTAAAAACAAGTCAGTGTTTTTATACTAGAAAGGAATGGAAGAATTTAGAGATAAGAAAAGTAACAAAATATTTAAGCAAATATATGTGTCTGTATCTTTAATGAAGTCTAAAGTAGCATTGGCTTCTTATGCCTACGTTTCTGGATAAGATACATAATTTTAATCAAAGGCCTTATGTTCTACATTCCTTCCTGGATACAACTAACAAATATTGGAACTATTTTCTGTCGCCAGTTGTCTTTCCAAATGTAAACACTTAAGATATCAAGACGTCCTGGCTATCACTGAATTATAGTACAGTACTGGCTATTCACAATTTAAAAATGCATGTGCTTATTTTTCAAAAACAATTTTTTTAGCCTAATACCGTCAACATTATGGCACTTTAACTTCTATTCTCCTGTACATTTTAAACTGCATAATTCTCTATCAACTTAGAATCCCATACCAGCTGTTTCACATGCTTTACTACACAATGCAGGGTGCCATCTATTGAGAAATGAATACACAGTCTAACTAGTTAAAAGAACAAGCAGGAGACATATTGGAGAAAAGGAAAAGTAAGAAGTAATAGAATGAATGCTTTATAACGCCACAGGAATCTTCATAGTAATAGAAGAAATAGTTTAATTTGTTTTGAACCAATTCAGCTCAGGATCTGATGCAATGGAAAGCAAAAACTGGTTAGTCATCAAATAATGCAGGTGAAAAACTAAAACCTAGCGAAGAAAATAAACAGTTTGGTGTAAATATACAAATCCATTATGTATAATGAAATATTCTCATAGACAGAGGGTATTTCACATGAATTTTGTTCTGGAAGACTTGACTGCCTTTTAGATGTTTTCTTTTGAATGAAATCGTCATCATTTGAAAACTAATACAAGGAGAGTAGACATGGTTATTACATGTTTTTATGATTGGAAAAAAATGGATACCGCAAGACTGGGCGGATACCCGTGCTCTGTCGATTATACAAAAATCTGATGGAGTCATCTCTCAATATTAGAGCAAACATTTCAGTACTTGATGTCATGTTCAGAAATCTAGACTGCATGTATTTACATGACATGAATATGTCTTGTCTAGAATGTAGCTGATAGATGCTTTTATGAGCTTTTATCCTGCATAAAATAAACATGCACTATAAAAAATTCAACTTATTGTATGAAAACAAATTCAACACTTAAAGAATGTTACATTGTGAAATTGTCTAATAGGTAAAGATTTTCATGTGTAATCTTTAACAATTTAAAAATGAGAAGCTACTGTTCGTAAAAGTGATTTTGTTTGTGTCTAAACCCCTGCACAGTACAATCTGGTGTGTATTTACTCAGATGACAGCTGCATTAAGTTCAGTGGGATCTATTCCTTTATGAGTATGTTTAGGTTTGCAGCCTAATAGAAGCCCAATCTGCTGCTAGCATGGGAACAGGGCAGCAGCAATATTGCACAGCAGTACGCTAAGACAGTGCAGAGAGAAAAGAAATGGAACAGCATAGGAAAAACAATCAGGACTGAGCCAATGGATAGAGAATTGTAAGACTCATTGTAATGTTGTCTGAAAGGCTTAGATATCTTGAGTCGCTTCAGAACTGAAGTTTTAAATGTTCGATGCACTACAATGACCAAATGGGGAAGGATTAAATGTTTTCTCAAATATGTTAGGCTGAAAACTGCAATCAGTAAGTATTAGTTCTTTAGCTGTTAATCCAGAGGTAAGCTGTGAGGGCTCTGATGACCGTGTAGTTTCTATAGGATTCTAAATGTATGAAACTATCATATACCTACTGCCACCTTCAGTAGCTCTTTGGAGACTTAGGCAAAGAAATTAGTTCCCAGTATCTACATTTAGAGATCTGCAAGGATTGAACTTGGGCTATCTGTAAGCAACGCTTGTTGCTATCTATCATACTACTGAGCTGCAGAAGGATAAAAATGGGGAGGAAGAGGAGAACCAAGGATATCCCACTGAGTTCCCCATGATTGTATCTCCAGATGTATTGGGCTTCATTCAGCCATAATTGAAGAGTCTGAAGTCCTATACATCTGGAATATGTAAAATAAGGGAAGACTGTCCTAGGAGTAAAGAAGAATAAAATATTAATAAAAATAAATGAGGCGTTCTTCCTTGTTGACTGTTTAGAGGCAACTCCATGCACGCATCATGACTATATGCAGAGAGTTGCTCAAACAAGGCTGGAAAAGGAAGTCTCAATTATCTGAGTGGATGCAAGAGGAGGCCTCTGGGTAAAGTAAGAACAACTTATAAAAGGATCATTTATTTGCAGTCATTCACACATCACCTGTAAACCTGTGTAAAATTAACCTCCATTTTAGTTTAAAAACATACTTCTCCATTATCATCATCATTACACACACACACACAAATCAGAATGGAGAACACTACTTCCTGTTCCACAGCAAAACCTTAAATACCATTACAACAGTGATATACCATGCTATTACACATTGAGGAGAATAAAACTGTAGGCAACTTTTTTGAGGTTGGGAGCACATTTGAAGTTTTGAGAGCATGTGGTCCTGAAAAGGCTGCCATGGGAGACTTGCCTATTCAGTAAATGTTTGGCCAGGTCCAGGCACAAAGCACGCATTTATCAGAAAGCAAATTAGCTCCAGGGGATACCTTACTTACTACCATTGTAATAGGATCTTTGTGGGCCCAAAAACACTAGTATAAATAAAGATTATGGTAAATCATGGTACTTGGAAGCATGCTTGGTTTCATTTTTTAAAATGTAAAAATAAATCAGGTGGACAGAGTGCTTGACAGATACCAAGGGAGATGTTTCAGAGCTTATTGGCACCTACAGACACTATGTGGCTTAGCCCTGGGCTAATGCAGATATTTTAGATTAGGATAGCAAGCAGGTAAGTTCTGCCCTGGAAATATATAGCAGAAATAAATTAAATCCATACTCAATCTTACAGCTTACAGATCAATCGTAAGTATAAAAGTATATATTTTAAAAGACTGATACCTGCTGAGGTGCCCCAACATTTTTCTCATTTGCTTCTGAAGAGGGAAAATTATATTCAGAGATATTCTGTTTATTAGTCTCTAGTTCCAGAGTTGTAAAAGAAAGTTGTTTTTATATAACATGGAGCTTTGTTCAAAAGAATCTGGACGAGCAGATTTGTGTGAGTTGAGGGTTTGAGTAAACTTATAATTGACATGTTAATCATCACTGAAGTAATACAGTCATTGTTCATGCTCCTCCAGTTAGAATTCATCTTACTGAAACTCACCTCCTGGTCCCCAAGGTCCATGTTAAATGGCTGATTTGGGAGCGTGTTTTCAGACATCAAAGTGTTTAGAATTGGTGTAGTCTCTGGAGAGCTCTCCAAGAATTCAGTATCACTATCTGTAGGTGGGAACTTGACATTAAGCTTAGAAAGAGATTCCACAGAGTTTTCCTCCTCGTCTTGGCCCATTCCTCTTGACGCAATAGATGGGAAGTGAGATACATCTCTATTTGCATCCTTTTTAACCCAAGGATTACAAAGGTCATCTGTTTGTTCATCAGTGCACTGGATAGGCTTGGAGAATGGAATTTCTGGTACAACAGATGCAAAGGAAAAGATTAAAAGCTATCCCAAAGACCAGATTAAAGCATATAATTCAGGGATACAAACTGCCTGACAAATTCCATCCAGTCCAGTATGGCAGATTTGTCAGGGTCTAAGAAGCTCATAAACAGTTTTTTGAAACAGCATTTTCCCCCTCATTGCCTCATTTGACACCACAGGCTGATAATGGTATTTCTCCATGCCAAACCATTAATTCCTCTCTTCAGGAATAAACATGTTAGGACTCTTGCTTGGAACTAAAATACAATATTACACAATTGCTTTTATGCCTCCAGAGTTTCAAAGCTTTTTTGATTAGTAGCCTAGCAATTAGACAGACTATCATTTTTTTTTCAAGGGCTCATTACTTACATATCAATATCTCTATATTCTATATTAAATGAAATTACCTTTCTTCTATAACTACATCTGTTCTTTCAATTCAGCTTGATTTCATTCAAGGCAGTCTCATTTCTTTCAGTGCTCTAGCACACATTTCAACTGTTTCATCCCACACAGAAGGGGGCTTTCCTTTCTCCTTTCTCTCAAGATTGTCCCCTTTCATTTGGGAGACCCTCTGGGGGGAGTCATTGGAGGAAGAATCAGCTGAAAAGGGCCACTAACTAATCTTTCTTCCATGATTTTAAATCCCAGCCCAAGGAGGTATCACTGGATGAGAAATGATAAACGGTCATTTTAGAACATTAGGTCATATCATTTCATCCAGGAAGAGTTCTGAATTTGCTAAAACAGCTACATATATGCACTTGCTAGGGACTAAGCTAAGCCCATATTTGTTTCTGGCAAATAAAGAAAACTCTGGCAGGTTAAAAGCCATGTCTGAACTGGTTGCCCTGTAGCTATTCATGGCAATGACTGGCTGTCCAGACTTAACTTCTTCCAATGTATGTTATACAGTGAAACATTTACTTCAGCTCTTCCTAAGTTGCATAAGCTTTGGAAGTTGGCTATAAATCAGACAAGCCTAGCAATCAGATGCAGCTATTATTAGAGAACAAAGAATGTCGAAAATTGGGTTATAAGCACATATACTTTGCAGGAGCATCTGATCGGCCCCTGTTGGCTGTCATAGATTAGACAGATTTTGGTTTGATCTAGCAAAGATGGTTTTTACAACTGAGGTGAGGAAAGGGCTTTCAGTAGGGGGTGTGCAAATGTTTCAAATTTCAACTATTTTAAATTCAAAACCTGAAACAAGTTTGCATTCAAAAAAGGCTCTTTCAATCATTTGGAAGTGCTCTGAGCTTGAAACAGTGAGTTTTGAACTTGAAACAGAGTTGCCAGAGTGCAAAATACTTCCAAAATGATCAAAATAATCTGTTTTGAATGCAAAAGAGCTTTTAAATTTGAAATAGAGTATTTATTTCCTCAAGCCTGAAATGCTTTGCACGTTAATAGCTTTCAGACATTCACATTACATTAAACAGAACTCATCTCTAAAACAAAATTAAATAATAGTTTGCAGCATTTGCAATCTGCTCAAAATGCTACCAGACAGCCCCATCCCCAGAAGTAAATGTGAGGTACAGATAAGTCCACTTGTGCCATTCATTTTTTTCAAAAGAAATCAGGTAGCTTAGATTGTGGGTCTAAGTCCATCACATTATCCTTCAGGATATGTCAAGTGAGTTGATGGATGCATACATAAAACATGCATTAAAGCAAACTTGGATAGTATGCATCCTTTTCATATACCATGCAGCAACCAACCTGCAAATTTGTATCTGGTTAAATAAGAGCAGTCTCACATTATGTTTGCTTTGCACTGAGATGATCTCAGTACAGTGGGTATTAAACAAAACAAAACCACCCAGATACACTATTGCATCAAGGGGAGATGCTACCTCACTTTCCAGCCCAACCATCTTAATTCAGAATTCCCTGGATCAGTGAGAATGTCTGCTGCAAAGATCTAAATGTCTTCATCAGAATGTGCTTGCAACCCTGATTGACCAAGATTCCCAAATCTAAGCCGCATTAAATCAAATGAGGTTACAGTATGCTTTTCCTATCAATATGTGGTGGTTAGGAAGGAGTGAGGTAGCCCAGACACTGTTGCCTTTCTCCTTACACAAATTCTTTTTTTGGAGTGACCGAAAAGGCTTTATTTTGCCAGTAAGCACATCAAGAAAAACACTGCAAGATGGAATTCATACACTCACAGCAAAGTGAGCTGTCAAATCACATGTCATAAGTGATGATGCACCGGTATTTTTCTCAAAACACAATAGTTATTGCCACGTAAAATAAATGCGCTATATTATGTGGCATTCCGTGTAACAAAAAGGTATGGACAATCTTAAATGGAACCTCTATGCAGTCTATGTAAAGAGCTAGAAGACAATAAAGCATAGTTTTCAGCAGAAAGTGCTGCAATAAAGTGATACCAGTTGTAGGTTCTCTCCGTAGGTTAAATCTACTCAGCTGGTCCGCCTGCGCCCGTGCCAGTGCACGTATTTGATTGAATTCTTCCTTCATGCCCCAGAAAACGCTTTCCAGTTCATCCCTAAAGATGAATGATTTCAGATGTAAAGTATCGTCCCATTGTCTTTTTCTGTTTTATTTAACCCAGTAAGCATACTGTTAAAAACACTGGCACCATCTGTGTTTGCAACGCAAACTTGAGGACAGAAATGATGTAGGGGATCCATGATCCCATCTTCAAGAAATATTGATAAAACAGCAACTTCGTAAGGTAGCTGATGGGAAGGGGAGACTCTTAAATTGACTGAAACAATACCAAACAGAAATATGATTAAACTTCACCTCTCCTCTTCTCCCCACAAATGAAATGATTCCTAGTTATTATAATCCCCATTAGAGAATAAAAAATATAGGTATTACAGGGGTTCTGTATCTGTCTTTCTGGCCTCAAGGTAAATATTGGAGGATGGGGGTTATACAGGGGAAAAATGTGAGAAATTAAAACAACTGATATAACTTCCAGAATTTTAAAAAAAAAATAAATTTTTCTCTGCTACTTATGGTTGCTTTTTTTTTTTTTTTTAAAGTACAGACATCCAGATATGAAACAATACATTATCTCTGTTTTGATATTCAGGACGAAAGCAAAGTAAATTGAGTATATTCCTGTCATTTATCTTTGAATGGTATGTAGAAAACAATCCTCCTTGATACCATCCATGGATAAAACTTCTCTCCATTTGCAGTGCTTAAGGATATTCAGGTAGTGAAAGTTCTATCTGGATTTGGAGCTTGAAATCAGAAGAGGGTGACTGAGGACCCAAAGCTATTAGGAGAGAGGAATATGTCCTAAAAGATGCAAGACAGTGAGTACAGTGAGGGGTGAAAGAAGCACTTTGCTTTTTTCTCTTCATGGAGATAATAATTCTGACTTTGGAGACAAGCTGATCCAGCCTGAATCCTTCTCCAGTTCAGGTCCAGAATTCAAAAAATGACCCAAATATGTTTCAAGATAATTAAATTGATCCTCGTGAAATCCAGCAAGTGAATGGTTCAATGCATAGGCATACCCATTTGTTCTTCTGCTTGGACCAAGCAATTCCTTTCTGTTAATTTAAGGCACCAGGTGTCATGTCTACTGCAGCTTCTATGTTATTAGTTGTCCAGTTTATAACACTGGATTCACACATCACCCTAAGCCGTGATTGTATTAATCATGACTTATTGAATAAGCCTGGCTTATTTGCAGTTGCCTGTGTTCCCATATTGCCCTAAGCCCTAAATCATAACTTACAAAGCAAAAGCCAAAACCAAGCAAATCACATTAGTTCTGATGTGTCAACCCAGCCTAAAAGTAGTTCCAGACCTCCCTCTTAGAAGTGGGAAGAGAGAAGGCAAGAGGTGAGGGGGAAAATATCCGCCCATCTCTTAAAATCAGAAAGCAAGGATAAACAATGCATTATTATAGAGGAAAAAAAAAACCCAGTGCCATACCTTTCACAGACAGATGCAGCAGAGGCCCCTGATGATAATTCCTGTCTAGATGAAGGGTGTTTTTCACTCCTTGCCTTTAAAAGATCAGAAGTAGGAAAAAGAAAATTGCTGAATTTTAACAGCGTTAACAAGATTTGCCCCTATAAATTAACAGAGCAATACAGTATTGATATAATATCCACTGGTTAATGGCATCTTGTCTTACTTTTTATGCAAAAAGAGTAAAATCCATAAATCATTGTTTAGAAATACGTATGCTGGAAATATATTACAGATCACATCCACATTATTTTCAGGTGCTAGAATATGCCCGAAGTATTTTGAATAGCTGAGTTAACTGAGGAGTGCTGTTCACTCTGGTTCCGCACTTATATATAAGAAATAATGAATTTAGCTAAGTAAGAGGGCCACATTCAACGCTGATTTGCATTTCATTCCTTTTTATTAGGCTTTCCCATAATTCAGCCATTTTCATACAATACGAATTCATACAAATATTCTTCCATGTAGAATTCTCTCCACGTAATGAAACTGGGCAGGGATTACTAAGTCCATACATATTTATGCATAAGCCTTTGTACATTAACATGCATCATAAAACTATCAGGAAGAACTCCACTTTGCTCTTTATTAAAGCTGAGCCAGGGCTGATATGTTTTCTCAAGCATGGAGATAAGTTATTATATTTTACTACCACCTTGTGGATTAGCCCAGTATTACATGGGCGTTTTATTTCAAAGCCTATTAACCAAGATAAAGTAGAGTCTTCTCCAAGGCAAGCTCGACTTCTGGGGACTTCATGGACATATCCTTGTAGCTTTCTTGGCAGCCATAAGGAAGTGGTTTTCCATTGTTTTAAAAATTTTCCTGTTTACCCTACAGCCCAAATTTTCCCAGAGCATTCCCACCCGTGCCTTAACTGGACCCACCTTGCTTATCTTCAGAGCCCCAGTAAGGTTGGCCAGGGGCTGCCACGTGCTGCTAATCCATCTTTTACACAGATTTCATGATTTAAAAAGGCTTGCCTGGGTTAATGAAGCCAGTATGGTCTTTGAAGTAAAATTAGGGATACAAAGGAATGACAGATTGTACATCTGCTCTTCACCCCAAAAGGCAGAGGAAAATCTTATTTTTTAAAAAAAATAAATATAGATAGACCAGTATGGGCAGAGTACCTTATTTACAGAAGAGTACATTGAACTTAATGGTTTATGAAAGTAGTTTCAATCTTACAGTATCTGAATCTGTTTAATATTCTTACTTCTTTTTCATGTCTCGATACCTGTATGCAATTTTGTGCTTCATTTATTTCTTTCAGTTGCTTTTTCAGATTCCTTATTTCATCTTCTTTGACAGTGATAATAGATTCAAATTTCTTTTCCTTTAAATTACTATCTTCTTCAGTTTTTTTTAATTTTATACTCTCATTTTCCAATTGTTCCTTTAAAAAAACCACATACACAGAGAGAGAGAGAGAGAGAGAGAGAGAGCGAGCGCACAGTTGGTTAATTTTCAAACTCTGAGGAATGTCATTATAGAATAGATTGTTATAGGCTAAATTAAGTCTTAGCAATCTGTGAAAAAGCTGTGAAAAGGCGAATTCCATGTTAGAGATCATTAGGAAAAAGATTGAAAAATAAAACTGACAATATCATCATGCCTTTATACAAATCTATGGTGTGACCACACTTGGAATATGGCACACAGTTTTAGTAGGTGCACCTTGAAAAAATATTACATGATGGATCTGGAAAAGAGGCAGAAAAGGAGCAATTAAAATGATCCAGGAACTGGAACAATTTTTCTATGAAGAAAACAGAAACGGTAAGTTAAGAGAAGGACAGTATAAGAGTACATAATATGCCACAATGAAAGTGGGTATAGAGAAGTTTTTCCTTCACTCATTGGAATCATCCAGTGGAATTGGAAGATGGGAGTTCTTTGTATGGCATTCACTATTGGAAAATGGCTCTCAATATCATAGGAAAATCCATCAAGGATGTTGGCAATTGTCAGTGGCTACTAACTATGATAGCTAAATATGGCCTCCAGATCTAAGGTAGCATGGCTCTTCTCAATGGCAGTTGCTCAGCAACTGAGTGGGAAGTCCCTATTGTCCTCAAAACTGGCTTGTGGGCTTCCCAGAGTCATGTGATTAAGGGACTAGATAGGCCTTTGATCTGATCAGGACTCCCCTTGTGTTCCTAAATGAAATCAGACTTGTGTAAGTACCATTAGGTTAAGATGAAATAATTATAATCCATTTACTACAACATGCAGTTAATTTCCTTGTGGACAATTATTCAAAACAATTGTGTTTTATTTTGAGTGCATACATAAAAGGAGTCACACCACCAGTATGCATATTAGTGCTTAGAAATGCAGGAGATGTTGTCTTATTCCATTTATATAGTCTGTTCACTAATATTTAATTAGTTTCAGCATGTGCTAGAATCAAGATAAAGTACATTTAAAGGAAGTGACAATAGTCTTCAAGGCTCATAATTTCTGGAACAGTTAAAATGTAGCTATTTAGCACTTATGACTTAGGATTTTGCAAGACTCAAGATATAAAGCTTCAAAGATAAGATATTAAGGCTTTTAAATAGTCTACTTTTCTCCTGCATCATTAGGATATAATCTATTAATTTTCTGCATATAATGACAGTCTATATAGAAAAGGGGAAAAACCTCAGCAAGAAAAAAAACACACCATGAAGCTATACCAGCAGCAGCAGCAATTACAAAATTGTACTTTAGGGAGGATCAAAATCTCCAGCTCTCATGGATGCATGACATTTGTCAATTACTATGAATAGAAAGAGCAATAATTCAGTGTAGTCATATTCCTGCATGTGTGTGTTTTGCCATTGAGAAATGGCAGTCCAGAGTCAAAACGGGAAAATATAGAGTATCAGAAGTAGGAACATTGTGAAAATGATGAGTAGCTAAAGCCCACTTGGTTCCAGTCTAGTCAATCTGTTTAACCAATGACAAGCAAAATGACTGAAATAAATAAATTTGCTTTTGTTCAGATTTTGAGTTGGGAAAGAAGAAGGGTGCAGTCCTCTTATCTACCTAATGGCTCATCCGTAAGATAGAAGACATGTAGAGAATTGTGCTGCGAAGTACTATTATGGAGATAAGTATTTCGTCAAACTGAAGAGGGGGGAAACTGCTGCAGCGATGAAAGCTCAACTATGTGCAATATACTTCCAATTCCACAGTCCGAAATTTCAAAAAGGAAACAGAAAATAATGTGGATACCACCAGTACTCTTACCCACTATTAAAAATCCTGCTCAGCCATTCTCTGGATTCTGTATTTCATTCTTTTCTTTTTGTAAGCCACCCAGAGAACATTTGGTATTATTTGCTGCCTATGTAAATATATACAATAAAATAAATATGAGGATGTGTTTGATAGAAAGGTTTTAGAAGGATGAAATCTATTTTTCTATTTCTGGATGGGTGGGGAAAGCTATCAGCACCACATTTTGCTCAGACTGGAGCCAAGGAAGATGGTAATAAATAATAGGAGAGAAGCAACAGAAGAAGAAACAAATGAAAGATGTGAAAAGTATTGAGACAGTGACAGGTTTCTAAAAACAACAACAAGCAAGCTGACCTTTCTAAATAATGTATGATTTTTTTAAAAAAATAAGAAAAGTTTAAAAGGTACTAGAACGCATACTATAGGATGAGGGCTTTCTAATCCCAGATTTCCCAGATGATATACTGAAGGAAGTCAGAATGGACCTGGAGAAGACACGTATCTATACCTATGAGACTGAAAACATTTGAACCTACTTTTTATTGCTAAAAATAAATCCCAAAGTGAGAAACAACTAAACAACACATTCAAAATGATTAAAGCAGAGATGGGCCATCTGTAAATTCCAGCATCTTTTGCCTCTAGTCTTGTTCCTGGGTCTGCTTCAAGTTATAGTTCAACAGCCTCTGGAAGGTCATAAATCCTTGATTTTCAAGTGAAAACAGTGCTGGAAGAATTTTAAAAAACCTATAAAGCCACAAAACAAGGATAAATTCTATTCAGTTAACTTGTTCCCTGCCACCCGGAGCTCTGTCATTCTAGCTTTGCACTAGTCTTCCTTCTTTCCTTCTTGTTTCTTAAGCTTGGCACTGCCTTCTAGAATATGAATGTGGCATTGTGTTTCTTCCTTCCTATCTCCTTCAAACTTTTGGACAGAGCCCAAGAAGTGGGGTGATTTCTTGAAAGTGAAAGTGAGCCTAGGTAAAGCAACCGAATTAATACATTTTCTCAATTCCCCCCCATCCCTTTGTTACTTCTCTAGTGTTAAGTTTTGGACTGTAAGCTTCTCATAACAAGAAACTATTTTAAAAAAAGATTTCACTGACTCTGGCAAGTAGTTGATGGGACACCAGGAAACTCCACAGCTGTAAGCTATACGGGGAATTTAAACAAAACAAAAAACCTCCAATGACAAGCCACTTCTGTAGTGTTGCTTAGATAGCTATACCTCTCTGAAGTCATCATGAGTAGAGCTTGATTTGAAGGAGATCTAATTTTTTATATAAACAAACAACAGCATCATGCTGGAGAGATACTTATTCAAGAGTGCACAGCAGAATTAAGCATAAAGGTTACAATGGACAAAAGAAAATAAAAGTAGGAATAGCTATTATAGCACCATTATTGGCTTATAGCCTTATGTTTCACTTGTGTGAAGAGCCCAATTCAAATTACATAGCAGCACCAACAAAACCATGTGCACATTCAACAGGAATCCTCACCATTCCCATCTGAGGAATGGGACTAAGACTTTGCCAGTTGCTTTCGCAGTTTATGGTCAAGAGTATAGCAGGGAAAACTCTTATTTTTTCTGGCTTCCACCCTGCTCCTCCTCTAGGTTTCCCAATAGATCCAGCCCTTTTCTCAGCTGGATGTGACTTGAACACTCCAAGGAGTATCTTCCTGGTACACTTCTTCTGGTAAGCATGTTGCCACCTGTTTTGTTTTGTTTTTTATTAATTAATTAATTAATTAATTAAATCTGTCCCCGCCCATCTCCCCCTAATGGAGGACTCTACTGAGGAATTCTTTTCCTCCTTGCTTGCATTTAGATAAAACAGGAAATACCTCTTCCCTCCTGATTTTCAGGTATGATGAACCCCTCTCCTTTTGACATATACTGAAAATAACAGTACATCCTTTAAAAACAATAATGCTGTTTGGACTTCATATAACATTTTCTGAGTTTCAAAGCACTTGTCATCTTTTATTTTGTAATTTGTGTGATCCTCTTAAAAATAGGTTAGTGTTACTACAGGTAGAGAACTGAAGCAGAGAAAATGAGCCTTGCTTAAGGATACCTTGTGAACCCAGTATTAGCTGGATGTCTGCGTGTTGTCGCAATGCACATGATACTCAAACAAAAGTAAGCAAATGCATGGAGGATGTTTTTGTAGGGGCAATGAGGATTCCAATTTCCCTATTTGTAGTTTTTAAATATAGGTCTTATGTTGTTACCAGAGGAAGATAATTTTTCTTTTTGTTTCCAATTTCAAATTTCTAAAGCAGAAATTGCAAAGCTTGCTTAAAGAGAAAGGAGAAAAGAGAGAGAGAATGAGATTCTCAAATTAGATTTCTCCAACATAATTATCAAGTGTCACCAATTTGACAAAATAGGTATTCTTTATTAACAAATTAACACATACGATTAAAATATGCTTAGTTGACAGAAATACAAGTCCCTAGCTCATTATCTGCAAGCTAAAAAATAAGCTTTCATAACAGAGTTTGGTATTAGGAATTGAGAAAAGCTGCCTTAATCCACATCAGAAGATTCACTTAGCCAAGTACTATGTTTCTGAGCTCTCCAAGATTCCAGGCTGAGTCTTTCCCATTACCTGCTAATTCTCTGTGTTAGCTAGGGATGGTAGGGACAGACTAAAATCCCAAGCTAGCACTTACATGCAAACCACATAATATTCCATTGAAGCCAGATCCCATCTATTGCTTAACACAAACAAACTTGAGAAAACTCCTATGCTTCATGACCATGCATAACTTCTAGAAAGACAAAAAGCAAAAGGAGAGGAACCTACAGACCTCCAGCTATTGGTTCAACTACAATTCCCAGCATCCTTCACCATCTGACATGCTGGTTGAGGCTGCTGGGAATACTAGGTCAGGAGCATCAGAAAATTCCTTGTCCCTGGAATTTACTGTGACCAATAATGGACACAAGGAAAAGAAGCAAAGCTTTCATTTTCCATGTTTTAATTGGACCCTACGTTGTGGTGACTCTTAACTGTGGCTTGTTGAATAGTGTCAGATGTACAACCCATGATTTCAAGCAGGCTTGTCTATGTAGCCTAACCACATTTTGTCAAGTTTATATGAAACGATAAGCTTCGGTGGATCAAAAACAGGTGAAAGCTTATGAGTATCTCCGCTGGGGGACAGCAGCAGTGATGGAAACAGTGCAAACAACAACTCTTCTGCAAGTTCATTCCTGTTACACTGGATTCTCCTAACAGCCAATATACTACTATAAGTTGTTATCCTTTTCTTTTTCAAACTGCCAAAGCCACTATATATCTTAAAGAAAGCATCATACCTTCAAAAGCTTCTCTCTTTGCACTGCCAATTTCAGCTTTTCTTGGAGCTCATCAGAATCTGAGTTCAATAAGGTACCATTTCTTCTTGTTTCACTGTCTTCATGGACTGGAACTTGACTATGTATGTTGACTATAAAAGAAAGTGTTTTAATGTTTTGAATTAAGATATCTAAGTGGGTATGAAAAAATGTAGAATACATCAGGATTTTGTTGCACTGATAGATCCCAATATGAATTAAAAAATGTGATACATGGAATTTCCTGTTCCGCCATCACATGGCTAAAACAATATGCATGTTCTAAATAAAACCCTCTTTCATAGATAGCATACATAAGAAAGCCATAAAAAGACAGTATAAATTATATTTTACTGCTATTTAATAATACTGCAAAACAATGCAAAATCTATTAAAACTGATAGTCCAAACAATAAGGAGCACAATGCAACTTAAACAGAGTTATTCATTTCTGGCTAAAAGTCATGGTGAATCAAACCTTTTTTCTGTATGAGTACACTTAATCCAACCTGGGGTTCACAAAGATGGATAACTTCAATCATTAAAATATTCTGGAAGGGTTTTTTCTGAGTAAGCAGACAGCTTGCTAACTCCCCAGAACCTTGCCTTAATCAATTGCCGCTTCCCAAATGTTGGAGATGTCAGACAGAGTTCTTACTTTAAATACTGGCTTATATAGATTTCAACTACTCTTTCAGGCAAACATTTGGGAGAGAGCATCCCTTGGAGACAAGTTTCTGAAATCCAGTTTACAACTCACTGGAATGTTTCAAAATGCCTGTACCTAATTTTATATCTGTACACCATAAAACACCACATCTAGATTTGGTTTGTTGGTTTGTTTGTTTGTTTTACTATCACATCATCTTTTCAGGTCTACCTCAGTGTGCACATCAAAACATGCACACAAAATGTATATGCGCATTCCCCTGCTCCCCCAAATAGGCAATCTGAGTGTTGCATAAAATAATAAAATGAGATAATTTTGGAACTGAACAATGCCATGTGATTGAACATATGCATTGGAAGGGCCTTTCTAGAACATTTAGTCCAACCCACTGTTCATTACAGGAAGCCATTAAAGTACTACCTCTCTGTTTGAAAACCTCCAGAGTGGGAATCTACTACTGTCTTAGACTCTTGCCTGGCTTACTATCAGGAAACTCCTTATAATGTTCTTTCTTTTAATTCTGGCTCACTGATCCTTGACCTGCTTTCCATTTTAACAGAAAACGGGTCTGCACCTTCTTGCACATAACATTAATGGACTACTATCAAATTTCCTCTCAGTCTTCTTTTGCAAGAGAAATCACTTTTCTATTTCCTTGTTAAATCACCCAAAGTTTTTACTCTTCTCTTTCTTTACTCATTAAAACAAATTACTTCCTTGTTGTTTTTTCCCCACTTTATTTTTAGCCTTTTCCACTTCCCTTTTCACCCTATGTCCCATTCTGACTCCCAACCCCTTTGTAGCACCTGGAAGCAGAACTTAATATCAGGATTTTTCAGAACATGTTTCCAAACACAGTAGCATAAGATATAAAGTGATGGCATTTCAAGAAGAAAACCTGTCAGTCTATACAATGTGTAGCATCACCATCAGGACAGCCCAGGAAGGCCAGCTACCTGAGGTAGGAGATGATTCTTTTCCTGTTGCATTCCAGATATGGAAGGTATCAGGGTTGGCCTTATTGTCCACTGTCTCAGTCTGCCACTTAGAGTGGTGGCTCCCCTTCAGCTGAAGGTAGAGCGGGCCCAGACAAGCCACAACCATTTATTGCCACGAAAGTCAGCAGCTATATCCCAGGTAGCACAGCTGGCTTTATAGACGAAAGTGGCCAAAACACATTGGAGGAGGACATTCAGATTTCAATTCTGTTTCAAGTTTCACAAATACTTCCAGACTGTCTTGTTAAATATCCCAAGTATAAAGTATGCTAGTTTAAAACAATCACACTAAGTCATAGCCAACCATGACTGGCTACATGTCCACATTATGCTAAAACACAGCGATGAGTTCATACAAAACACTGTGTCAGAATCAAACAAACCACATAAGGACTTAGTGAACCCAGGGATAGACACTTCCTACACATTACTTAAATATGATTCTTATTGCTTTAGCCGTTCTCCATGGCTTCCATAGTTAAAAGTTTTACGTTTTGAAAATGCCTTCCATTAGTTATGAAACAGCACAGAGAAAGTAAGTTCAAATATTTTTCAATGTATAGTAGCAACAGTTTTAAAGGGTCCAAAAAAGTTATCAGGTTGGGAAGTGGAGTACTTTGAAGACTGGATGGAAGGTGCCAACTTGAAGAAGTGGAAATAGAGCCCAAAGTGGACTGCCAAAAATATTATTGATCCACTCACACAGTTTTCCTTCACCTCCTCACTTTTAGGATTTCATTTAGGAAGTGGGAAGCCCACTGCCAATCCTGACTGTGACATCAGACAATTCTTACCTCTACTCTGAATCCACTATGCCCAGTCAGCTGTATTCAAATAAAGATCAAGAAGGCCTGAAGTCAGACATCCAACTGACCAAACTGGTAGATGTACATGGAGCCTTAAACATGGAATCACTTTAATCTACAAAACTGACAAATACCCAATTGCACAGAATTTAGAGTGCAAGAAAATGGGGTATTAAAACTCTGACAGTGCCTTGATTTTTACTTATACCAATTTCGCTCAATAGTCATACATCAACCTCTTATGCTATGAAATGGTGACCAGAAATTGTCTCTGTAATACAATTCTGAATGGAAGAGGATCAGCTTACAAAACAGACTGTTTTCCTTTTTAAGTTTTTCATATACATGTTACCACTACTGAAATGTCAATGCTTTCTTAATAATTTGGGGCAGAGGAACATGTTAAAAAAACTAGGGTTCTGTGATATCATACACGCACAAGCATGTGTGCATGCATGTGTGTGTGTGTGTGCGCGCACACACACACACAACCAGGATGGAGAGAGGCCCACACAGGGAGACAGTCAGTCAAAAGCAGGTTGAAAACTACCTACCTCTGTTGGCAGTCATAGAAGCCAACTGTGATTTGAGTTTTGCAACAATGCTCATTAGACGTTCGATTTTTTCCTGCTGTTCATGTATCTGCTTCTCATAGCTGTCTGTCTGTAAAGATAGTGTAATTGGGAGCAATCATTTTATGTTGATGAATAGTTTTTACCTCAGACAGGCACAAAGAATGCCTATGCCATAGCATTAATGTCTAGATTTACTGCCTCCAATTCTGAATATGGTAGCTTGATTTTATACCTGAGGAGCTAGAAATGCCCATTTATCTTGTTTCCCTTCTTTTTATTTATTTCATTCTTGTTCTAAGGCACCAGGGGTGGAATATATGGGTTTGTTGAACCTCTCTTACCATCACAATAAACTGATTAAGACAGGTGTGGCTGCAAAACAGTGACTTGTAAGAGTACCAATATCACATTCATGGTTGAACTCAAGTTTATCTATTGCCCTGTACCGTACTGGCTTTTTTTTAGAAGTTCTGGATTTTTCCACTGTTAACAAGACAATTATGGACAAGAAAACAGCTTTCTGGCATAGACAGATGAGTTGTTTGGGTGGCTGAACAATAGCAATGCTACAATTTCAACCTTTTCCATTCTTCAGGCTCCTGAAAACCCTAGCTTTGAGCAGGCAGAGGAAAGGATGCTACTATTCCAATAAACAATAAAAACTCAATATATAGCAATAACTGCATCATAAGCCCATTAAAAGGCAAAGAGGTCAGTATATTTGAGCACCCTGGATGACCTCAGGAAGCAGGAGGAGGAGAAAAAGTCACTAAGACCCAAATTGAAAATGTACAACAGCAATGTCTTGTCAACACTTCTGTACAGAGCACACTCATGACAGCTAAAACAGACAGAAGAAAAGATGCTTTTGACAGCCAGCGTGCACAAGTGATTCTTTTAGAGTCAGATGGCAGCAACAAGTTAGTAACTACAAGATATACTTGACAACCAAATATCCATCTGTATTGAGTACCATCTGGCCGTGATGACTCCGGCTTCTATGCATTTGACACAGCTTCGATCTGCAGAGTCTAGCAAAACAAGTGGCCAACCAGAATCCACCATCAGCCATAAACTGACAGATGCTCCAACCAGTCCGAGACCATAGAGTAAAAGGGAGGAGGGTCACTGGAGCAAAAGCCACTTCTTTAAGTTACCCCAAGTTAAATAGGAACCACTTATAAGTTGACAATCTTTAAGCAACTGCCTTGTACTCTGCCCCCAGGAAATTTAAGTAAAGAAACCTTTAGAACTGATGAACTAATTAAGGGAAAGGGAGAATCCAAATGACATTTGACACACACTATCTACTTATTTTGTTAATGTATGGAATGGTAATCAGGATTTTCCACAGGCACAGAAGCATACGACATAGGGGCAGATTTTGTCTACTGTATCAGAAGTTCGCTAAATTGAGTGTTTACTGTACCACGTGAGGCCCTTCATTCAGAAAAGAAAAAGAACCATTGACTGTTCAGTAAACAAACTTCTATAGGCAAAAACTTCCACTGGGAAACTTTTCCAAATAATCAAAATAGTAAGTAACGTTTAAAGTTATCAAATGACACTGGTAAGCAGTGGGTAGACTACTACTTGAATACTTCTTAGAACTCCTCAGGTAGAAGGGAGACATGACCCAGTTTTATGGCATTTCATTTGAAATGAACACTGAAAATTCACAGAGGGGTGTGAGCAACAGCCCAAAGACTTCTTGCATAGCTGCAGAACTATGGATAAGACTGATGTGTACCCAACCCAGTGAAGGACAGTACGGGTGGTCTTCGTTTGGCAACCACAATTGGGACCAGCAACTTGGTCATTAAGTGAAACAGTCACTAAGTGAAACTGTGACTGTGCTTATGATCTTACGGCAGTTTTCCTTTGCTTTACATACCTGTGAAGGTTGTAAATGCAAAAATTGGTCATAAAGTTATTTTTCATCACCATCGTAACTGCAAACAGTCACTAAACAAGGCAGTCACTAAACAAAGAGTACCTGTCAGACTTGTGAGGTAGTCCAGACAAGAAGGACGCTCAGATGAACTAATTCTATCTTATTGTAAGGTTACATTAACAGAATCTTGCAAGTCTGAAGGTACATTTCTTCCCTGTTGCCTTTACAGCCCAAGATACTAGGGAAGGTCCCTTCCAAGATGCTTGCCACACCCCCATTTCTTCTATAGGCTAATCTGTCTCTTATCTGAACACTCTCCTGGCTGCCGCTCTTCCTCCTGTCTTCCAAGGTCATTCCCACATACCATTACACTATCTGTATACAAACTGGAGATAAAAAGTTAATAAAAATAATGGGCTTTCCCCCCATCCAAGTGCCACAAATGACTGAGAGAGGAAAATATGCACTGATTTACAGGGTCTGCAACAGTTTAAAGGTTTTTATCAAAGTTACCAAGAAACTTTGATAGATTGCAAACCCTGTGTCAGAAACAATCAATTCAATGTGATCCAAAATATCAGGACTACTTCTCCCAGAATTTCTTGCATTGGCAAGACCAGCTTAAGTTGATGGGAGTGCAAGTCCAAAATATCTGAAGGATACCAGATCGCCTGTTTGCAAGAAAGAAAAAACCCATTACTGCAATAGAAAAGGGCACAGGAAGCCATATTATATTAGGTAAGCATTCAAACTAGCACTGCTTTCTCTGACTGGTAGGACAGTTTGGGCATAGCATTTTCCCTAGAATTTGCTATCTGATTTTCTTTTATGGTTTTTACATAAAGATGCCAAGGACTGAATTTGGAGCCTTCTGCATGCAAAACCACTGAGCTATACTACATTCCTCACCGTTCCTCTTGCTCATCTCCCTATAAAATAAATGTCACTAGACCAGTGGTTCTCAACCAGCGTGCTGCAGCACCTAGGTGTGCCATGGGCTTGTTTCTAGTGTGCCACAAGATTTTTGTCTTATGTTGTTTTTTCCAATTTTTTTGGTAATATATACAGTACATTCTGTATAATCCGTATATATTCTATACAGTGCGGATATTTTAAAAAATTGTGTAACTTCCCCTCAAATCATGTCTTACACATTTAAAAATATCTATATATGATTAATAATTTTCTGGTGTGCCACAGAACTACTGCTATATTCAATATTGTGCCACAGATTAAAAAAGGTTGAGAACCACTGCACTAGACTCTATTTCTAAGTTGTAACACTATCTTATAGCTCATTTCATTTTTATCTTCTGTAATACAGAACAACATCAACAAAAGAACATTTCAAATGCCTGGTTTCCTTACTGTTTCTTCTTGCAAATGTGGGAGACTTTTGTTCCCCTACTATCAACTTCCTGCACTATCTCAGTCTCCTTCCAGTCATAACATCCTATGAGAAAAGCAATCCTAGAGGCAACTGGTGGACACATGTCAAAGCCGCCTAAGAGCTAAAGAGAAATGCAAACTCTCCTTGATGGTTACAAAATTCAATTTCATAGACAAAGACAAACAAGTGGTATGATACAACTTCACACCTGTAATTGCATGATCTCAGCAGATAATCAACAGAGCATTATTGAACTACACTGAATACTTCTGTTGTGTAGGAAATCTGAGTCAACCTTTTTTTCAGAAGTGGTCGTACAGGTAATCTTAACTTGTAGGGTTAGATACCAGGCGCATACATACCTTTTGTTTTAGTTCTTTCATAGCAAAATCTCTCTCCATGCATGCCTGTCGAAATGCTTCATATGCCTTATTAAGCTGCTCTGCAATATTTTTATCCATACTTCCCAGCAATATTTCATCACTGAAGAGATTATGAAGGCAGCAGATCTGGTTAAATTTCTTTTTAAAAAAAGGAAAAAAAATTTGGTTATTTTAGACTATTTTTGCTGCTTCCACATTTGTCCAGAGAAAGGAGCAACTAATGCAGCAATATGGTGGATCCTCACTCAACGCTATTTGGAATTTTTTTCCTAGGACAGGGGTTGCCCACCTTTTTTATTTCAGGACCCCTTTTTAACATCGAAAAAAAATTGCAGATCCCCCCCAACCCAGATAGCAGTTACATAAAATGAAACAAAAAGCTACTATGAATTCAGTAACCACAAATAATGCTTTTAAATCAATTTGGATTCTACCAATTACAAATGGAGTTTTCCATGTAGATGCAACTATTTATTCAGTCTAGGGAAGGGTACAGTATTATTATTTTCATGTTCTGAAAAGCAAGCCTTCTGGCAACCCACTAAAACAGTCCAAAAACGCAGCGACAACATCTCCCCCTGTCCATTCATCCCTGCTCCCCACCCCCCAGAAACAAATCAAGAAGCTATAAACAAGCCATCAATATTATTTTTTAATATGACCCCCCCCTGCCCCCATGTATTTCCTTATGCGGGTGAGGACTCCTTTTGCACATGCTTAAAGAGGCAACAGCGCTCTCCCTGTTTTGCTGCTAGGAGTTAGCAGAATGTGGTGCATGTGTGTATACAGGTGAGGCTGACCACCCAGGTGAGCATCAGCTGGCATGCACAGTGGGAGTTTCCAGATGGGTGAAGGAGAAATCCTGCTGGTGTGGTGGAGAGGGATCAGGTGGGTGGACCTGGGGGCAATTCCTCTGTTTTTGCAGTATGGCTTCTTCCTCTCATCCCTCAGTGAGAAAAGGGGCTAGAGCAGTGTTTCTCAACTTTGGCAACTTTAAGATGCATGGACTTCAACTCACAGAATCCCCCTGCCAGCATGGGTGGCTGGGGAATTCTGGGAATTGAAGACCATGCATCTTAAAGTTGCCAAGGTTGAGAAACACTGGGCTAGAGGAAGCAGCTGGTATATCGCTGAGAGCTGAGGCCGAGGGGTCCAATGGTGATGGGAGAAAGAAAATGTAAGAGAAGGTTGGAACTGATGGGATGTGAGGGAAGCCCTGTGGAGTAGCCAGAACAGCAAAGTAGGGGCACAATTGGAGCCCCTGTGGTGGTTATGGGGCTGTGTGACGGAATGCTTGACAGGCTTCGGGAACACAGGGGAGGAAACTAAGGGCTATAACAGAAGAGATTCTTGAGTCCATGGGAGGGGAAAGCATGAGAAAGAGACTGACTCCATCTTAATTATGCTAGGTATAGACTGAGCTGAAGAATTGCTTTGGCAGGCTTTAAGATTCTGTTACCTCACCCTGTGACCAATAAAGAACTTTCCAGAAAGTGGGGTTTTTTTCCTGAGCTTGCCATCCTCGCAGGCCTTGACAGGTTGTTAGGGGGTGAGAGCATCTGTGGGCAGCTTGCTGACATTGCAGCCAGAAATAATGCCAGGAACGTTGCTATGGTGGGTAAAGCCATGCATAGATTGGGTATGCTGGGAGGGAGAGAAATACCGCCACTGGCCAGGAAGAAGGAAGGAAGAACCAGTCTAAACATGCTAGTGCTATTCCTCTCAATCTCCCTCTTAATCCAGCCTGGCATTTCTCTTCCTCTTACCTCACTCCAGGCAACATCAGTGTCTATAGAGGAGCTACGTGAGAGGTTTTTGTTTTGTTTTGCATGTTTGGTATATAAGATGAACCCTTTGCAATAACTCCACAGTCCCCAAGGAGTCCATGGGCCCCAGTTCGGGAACTACTGTAAATATTTAAGGCTGAAAGCACTATCCATTTTCCTGGATGACCAGCAGGGGTCATATATGGTTTAAGCCATAAGGGGGGTTGTTTGGTTTGGGCAAAGCAGATTGAGTGAATAAAACCATTTGTGGCTTATTCAAGAAATCACAATTAAGCAAACCCTGGCTTAGTGGACACATGAACCAGGTCAGAGGGATGCAAGACTTCCCAGAGTTGTGCATCTGGTATGTGTATACTTTGCAACATGTTGCCCTTTTCTGGAAAACAAAAATAATAAAGCTTGAGATGCATTCTGATCCTATGGACATCACTGTACCTTACCCTTAAAAAGCTGAACCTATTAAAAAAAAAAAAAAAAGCATCAGTTACTGCTAGAAGGATTCCGGGACTTTGACTACCCTTTCATGGTGCCTGGAGGCTGTGGGGGCCTG